TTGCCAGTCTTGATAATATTGGAACGTCTACCATGCCATTGCGGGTATATACGGCTGTAAATCTCTACTGATCATTGAATTAGAAAAAACACAAAAAATTAGTTTGTGTTATTCATTTAGACCAAAAGTATTTGTCCGCAGATGGAACCTTTCTCAAAAATTCTTGTTTTGATTTTGTCGTAAAACTGATAACAAGAGACATCACCATTAAATTTGCAGGTTACAGAGTGGTTTTATATTTTCTTCTGGCATTCTGCACCTGCTTTCGGACCAAAATTTTTTAACAATGGAATAAATCCTTTTAACAGATGCCGATGTTCCGAAAAACAAAATCAACCAATTTGCTGCAAATTCGAAATGCTAATATTTCTGTTAGAAAAAACGTTAAACATCTTTGTCCACTTAATTTCAACCGGCAAAGTAAGTCAAATTGCATTTGAACCATGCTCAGATAAATATCTCTTTATCAGTATTCGTAAAAGTGCATCGCTATTCAAAATCTGATCAGCTAACCAAATATATCATTTATCAATTTTGCAGACCAAACACTTCAGTCCAGTTTATTTCACTCTTCAAATTTCTCCATATGTGTGGCCTGGCAGCATTGTAGGCTTCATCGTGCAGCTCTATATACGATAGACATTTCTCGTAAAAATCGCAAACATTCTTTTTAAATACAAATTTTTTCCCTGCAAATTTAGCTTCACCTCTGACAGAATATTTGCAACATCTACGGCAGCGGTCGGCAACCTTTTGTCGCCCGCGAGCCAAAATTAAGGGTTGCGAGTCATTGGCGGGCCGCACATATTTTTAGAAAGTTGAAACTGAACGGATGATAGTTTTTACATTAAAAATCAAGCAGTGATACATCTCATACATAGAATATAGATTTATTTCCTCATTGCATCTCAAAAAATTCCGTTTGAATATTTTCAGCGCCATTGAACCCTTTGCACTTAGCATCAACTTTTCTGCGTTTTGTTGCCATTCGAGCTTGAAGTAAATCATCATTAAATTCAGAGGAGAACAACGGAGCAATGCACCAACTCTCATTTATTTCTGGCTAAACGTGCAAAATCAGCGAATCCGCTTATCAAACAGCGGACATCAGAAATTCTAACTGTGTATATTTACAAGTTAATGCAAATTTAGCCTCAAAAAAATTTGAAATTAATTTAGAGGTGCAGTCAAAACTTTGGTCATGAATAGCAGTGTGATAGGTAAATGTCGGCTGCCAACGACACAGAATCATCCGAATTTGTTATCGCAAAATTGGTCAGTCGAGTCGATGCTTCAATGTTATTGTTTTGTGCTTCCTGCTTCGGATATGATCGTTGACATCCGAACGTCCGCCATGACTAATAGAAAAACAGATCTGCAATGCGTACAGTGTACCTTTCCTCCTTCAGTTTGCTTCAAATAAGGTAAATCTTTCTTCAACTCATCAGAAAACTTGTACTTTCTTTTTGGCATTTCGACAACTTAACGACATTGCAGTTAACGCCAGAAAATGCATTAAAACATATACCAATTGTGACATAACAATAGAGCGATTTCTCTCTCTGAACTAGCAAAGTGTGTCGCAAAACAGTGGTAAATGGGCTGTCACCGTTAAAAAAAATTTGTAATATTAATGAATTTGAATTTTTTACCCATGAAAACCGTGCTGACAAACCGGGACATTTGAGTCAACCGGCCGGGACGCCGGGACAGCTTGTCAAATCCGGGACTGTCCCGGCTAAACCGGGACGTATGGTAAGCCTACACATAAGTGTATTATCCATTAAAAATAATCACAACCAACAGTGAATAAAACAACTTTTAGGAACATTTTTAGGATTTTTAATTGTTATATATATATAGCCGATATATATATCGGCAAACACGCAATATAGGTTGAGCTCTAATCCCGAGGGATTGTGACAATATAGATTCATGCCTCCAGTCTAAACGTAAATCGATATACCAAAGTATACAAGTCCCAACTGTAGTTTGAAATTTTACCGGTACCTAGTAGTCTACCTCAGGATGGTTCAAGGTTGAAGGGCACTTTTGAGGAGGTCTCGCGGGCCTCAAGTCGGAGAAAACCCAAAAGTGATCGAAATATTGCGAGTTTACTTACTTTAAATTTAATAAACAACGAGAGTTTACCGTTTTAATCAGACTATACGATGTTGCATGGGTGGCGTTCTTTTAAAAATAATAGATAAAGCCTTCAGTTATTTTAAAAATAATTCCCGAGAATAACCGTTGTATTTTCCGCATCTCGCGTTTAATGTCGCTTTAAATTATATTCTTTCGTGACAGATATTACTTGAAATCAAATCAGACACTGTGTGATGGGCAACGAAATACGTTTCCGCCGTGTTTTCCTTATGTCACCTTTCTTGTGACACTCATTTTATTACGAATTGTTATATTTGAGTAATTCAAAACTCTGCGTTTCGTCACTGTCACTTGGCCCACGCTTGAAAACAGAGGAGTGTTTTTACTAAAATAAGGGCACAAAGCGTTCGAAAAAAGGGTATAAATCTCGGGATCCCAACCCCAGTTGGAATAACTGAAAAAACTTTTGCTATTAGATACAAATATACGCAAAAATTGGACTGTGGGCCGCACGGAATGTATCAGCATGACAGGGTTTGGACCACCCTGGTCTACCTTATCAAAAAACTCTTCGACTTCGCTGACCACTAGATCGTTGAAATGCGATCGTGGAACCTCCAAATAGTTCTTTGGTCCAATTGTTGAGGGGAAAAGAAATATTTTTAAAACAAAAATGCAGCAACAAGGAGAATACTAGGAAGAAAAAACAACAACAATTTAGGAAAACGACTCATAGGCCCATTTCGTGCCAAATATATAGTTTCAGTGTTTATTTTTAATGAAGAAGGTTAAAATGATACTTGAAGACAAAAAATAAGCGAACATTTTGAGGTCGTTTGGTGAACTCGAAATATATTAACTAGAATTCGGTTTGAAACCGAAGACTTATCGATCGGAGGTTAGGGGATCACCAAAATTACGTCACTTGACGTCACAATCACACGTTATAGATCTTGCCAAAATATACCTACGATCGCCCGAAATGATGGCATCTGCGCCTACGATAACGAACTCACTAACCTAACGCTGCAACTGATATCTCTCATATCGGGATCTGTGCGACGAGAAAACGAGAGAAATAGTTTGAAGGGCAATATTATGTCACTGTGACGTCATTTTTGGATGACGCAGGCAGTCGATATATAGGATTTCAGACGACCTGATCAGTCGGTGTAGGCCTCTAGTAGTGTCAGTTTAGATAGATAGATAGATAGATAGATAGTTTATTTCGAAAACTCCATAACAAACCTAAATTAAAAATGGAGAATTCTGGAGGGCAAGCAAAACCTACAAAAAAGTTTAAAACATGAAGTATCTCATGTGCCTGCCCACCAGCACGCACAGTTTCAGAGATATTCTCAAAAACCTAGAAATTGAATTAAATTTGCCGTAAACGACAACAAAAAAATCGCGTATTGCAAACACCGCTGTTGCTTTGCTATATCTCGAAGCTTAGTAATGCAGCTCCAGTCGTCATTCAGAGATTCCTGGATTTATATCTGCATGTGTAGTTTTCGAATCATTTTATTTTCTGAGTACCCTACCCGTACAGAATATGAATTCGATATTCAAACAGCTTTAATATAAACCTGTAAACCGAACCGATTTAGACTAAACCGAAATTTGTGGAAACTGCTAGTTTTCAGGTTTTGGTATATAAACTATTACATAGTGCAGTGCAGTAGTGAAAATTATTTGTTAGGGCAGGGGTTCTCAACCTGGGGTTCGCGAACCCCCAGGGGTTCACGAGAAGATTTCCAAGGGTACTTGGATGACAGTCGAGTTTTTGTACTTTTTCAAATTCTTTATTACTAGGCCTACCGGTACCATGAGAAAATGCGTGCCCATTGAAACTAGACGCCAATCAAGAAAGTAGATTTTCCCTGATCTTGCGTTGTTGTGATTGTGATGCAACAATGTGAAATTCAAGGCTTTACGTACAAACTGTGAAATCTCTAAATACAGTGTGCTGCGAGCATTGGAGAAGTAATTATGCTTATTGAAACTTGGGAAAGAATATAAGAATTCATTAGTTAGGCAGACGACAAGGGCAATAATATCAACAAGACGATTTAATTTAGTTACATACAGACATATGGTCATTAAATTGGTTTTGCAACAAATTGTTAGTCAATATATCAGTACTGCTGCAGTATATTACTACTTTGTTCGGTGTCTGATTACCGGGGGTTCGCATTGATTGTTTCGCGACTCGGGGGGTACTTGACAAAAAAAGGGTTGAGAACCCCTGTGTTAGGGCAAAAAATTACTGAACTAGGCTACTTCTAACAAAAAAGTGATCCAAACTAAAATTCCTCAAAAATGGCTATTTTGCCTCAAAATGTACCGTAGATAATCCTGATCTTCTCGGCAGCTAAAAAATAGATGTTTTTTTTGTTTCATTTGGCCTAGTTCAAACTAGTCATTTGGGTGATAGTGCAAACCCTCACGGCCTCACTACCGTACTGCACTAACGGACTGTTCTTTCTAGAATCTAGGCTTTTCAATGATTTGATACCTACTTCTTATAGCCAGTCCTGTACTGGTAATGTTACTTCTTAACTAGGCTACTTATTCAGTCTGTCAGTTATTTTTCGTCAGCTGAAGACTTCCAAATACAGAAATACACGAGCACCTTCTGTTTCAGCATTTTAATGATTTCATTTGGAGATTCCTTTTCTGTTTTCAGTGTTCCGGTACAGCAGCATACTACTTCATTTACCTCTGTCTAATCTTTCTTGCCCTATAGTTCAGTAGTTTCAGAAGTCTGAAGTTTTCATGATTGGCTGATCATAGTTTATCAACTTAGGCTATTTCTGTATTTAGTTACAGTACCATGTCTGTTTACCTTCTTTCTGTCTTTGAAGTATGATAACCCTGTTCTGTCTCATATGTCATAATATTTAGATATCGGTATTACTGTATTATGTTCTTATCTGAGGAATATACACCTTTGAATGTGCCGATTGTTGTAAGCGCTGTGCGTTGGGAGGAAGCAAGTCATGGCTTCGTTCCAAGTGGTGCAATTTGCGGAGGAAAATCCTTCAATGGTGAACTCATATACATTGGTAGAACAAGGTTACAAGAAAATCGCAATGAACTCACACCAGGAGTGCTGATCCCAAGCGAAAAGTGAGCTTATTCCTAATCCTATCATATGTATTAGACTATTACTGTGTTACAGTATTCGTAAAAAGATAAAAAAGAGACAAATCTTGGACTTGACCTAACATGCCCTAACCATTCTACCTGCGGATCTGCTGTACAACAGTACAAAGGTGTTGATGACAGCTTTTGTTACTGCATTGTTAGTTCAGATAATGATTATCAATGGGGTTGGCATTTCTGAATACTGATTTCTAACCGAATCTTTCCATGCCCGGCACCATTGGGCTTTTTTTATTGAACAGGTTTGCCCGAAGTCCCAACATAACAAGTCCATATCAAGTTAAAAACTAACAAATGAATACTGACTCACAAAAATATTATATAGTAAGGATGGCATACTTTTTTATTGAATTGGTCACATATTTCTATCATGATAAAGATGAATGTGGTTGATAGATTTATTAATCATGGATAAATTTGAGGTTGCATTTTTTCTGCAATTCCTCCAATCTGAGACTTATGGATCATTAGTTCGCGACCTCTGTGCTGTTTAAGCTCATTATTGCGACAAAGCAACCTACTAAACGAGAATATATTTGAAAATTGCTATATAATTGGCTTACATTATGCTAGTGACATAGTATAATAAGATAAGAACCATTTTTATTACCCCAATGAATTGTTAAATAATGAATTTTCATTAGACTTTTATGACTTTATTGCATGTATGTTATGTTACAGTCAAAGTTGTTCTTAACAATTTATGTTCTCATTGCCCTCCCAACAATTATCTTGCTGGCATAATAATGGATTACACTTTTTACAGTTTGCCTTAAGTGATACCAATTCATTTTTCTTGAATTCAAGGCAACTTGTCATTCCATTTGGAACGGGTGTACGAAAGGCAGATGAATATGAAGTCCTGGTAACAAGTGACCCACGATATGTTCATTGGGTTCCATGCAATGCTGGCGAGGTGAGTACCCGATACTTATTGAAATTTGCGATATAGTTTGTATCAACTCATTGATGCTGATGGTGGTGATTTAGTAGTACCATGTTTGGCATGCAAATTTGAAATTCACTGTGGTCGACTTAATTGCAATTGACCCACAAAGTAGTTTTTTATATTCTCTTCTACATCCTGCTTTATAAGCATCATTTCAGTTGAGCATTTAGCTCAAAATTCACTCTTTAAATTTATAATTTCAAAAAATGCACTATGTTCGAGTAAATGCCATGCAGCAGTTTATGATATAGCATCTCCATGAAATTTCACGTATTGCTCATTATCTTCATTATATATCAAAGAATTTCACATATTGGAAAAGGATATATTTTTCTGACAATTACAAGTTACAACCCTTTTTTTAAATAAATATCATCAATTAACACCAGAGGAAATTACCTATTTTTGGATAACAGGAATCTTTCGACCCAACCAAGGTGCTTTTTCAAATATTTTGATATTTACAGGTTCCCATAAATGCAGTTATTGGTGGTATTGATTGTTCGTATCTTGAGCCTCTTTATATCGGAAGGACAAGGGGAAATTTAACCTATGGTAGAACATGGCGTGGTCAAAGATTTCCTGGTGATTCTGAGGTAATTCTGCTACTTGTTGCATGCTTACAAGTGGAAATTCAATTTACAAGTGGAAAAAATTGTACATGTGCATACTGGAATCAGTTTTGCTGAGACATGAAACAATTCATTCAACAAAACAACAAGGCATGTTAGGTGCACAGGACACAAGTTCCAGTACTGTGGGGCATAACCAACAACATTCATATGTTCCTTCTCAATGCAGTCAGTCAACATGTAAACACAATGGCATATCGATGCAACCCCCTTTTTGCATGAACTCTTTCAAAATTCATCATACACTCATCTGTCAACTTTAATCCATTCTAAAAACAATGCAGAAAATGTGTTGCGTATGTAAGAAAGTGCTGAGAATTTCTCAAGTATCTAAACTCCATAAAATATTATTAGTCCTGTCGCACTTTAGAACTTTGTTTAGAAAAAGGTTATTGTCTGATAAATCTGAATGGGAAAGCGCTAATTTACTTGCCTGTAATAAATCTAATCGACCCAGACTATTTATCCTGTCAAGAGCAAGAAAGTTGTTACAGTATCGTGAGGTTACATACTCGAAACTCAAATCTCCCAAGTTTTAAGTTCTTCATTACTCTCTCATTCAGGTTCTTCAATCAAATCAGCCTGATTATTCAGATTCGACTTCCGATGAGTGCAGGTATGTATTTTAATGCCAGCCAAATTTTTAATGCTAATTTACTGAGGTTCAATTCCTAATTATAATTCAGTCTTGAATTCCATTGTTCGAATTCCTGTTCCTCTTTTTATGAACTTTGGGGCTTATTATGTTATAGTTGAATTCATTCTTGATGGAGTAAAGCAATATAAGCGATGCCATTATAGGCAATATTCGAGTATTGAGTCAGAAGTTGAGTCTTTGCAAATGAATTTATTCAGGTATCTGGGCTGTAATCGTAGGTTGGAATATTATGATTAATCCTAAACTTTTTATGAGGACACTTTCCAACTTGGGTACATCGACTGCTTATTTTACATTTTTACCTACTTGACTAGATACTAATACTGGTAGTTCAAACTTCATTTGTGGCCTGTTAAAATTTATACATAATTTGTATATTTATTCGATGTATTTAAAGCAGTGGAAATATATCTCAGTCAAAAGGGGAAGAATCTATGAGTCTTTCATTGACTAACAGACATCAATCAATGAGTGACTGTTTAGTGAAAAGCAACGAATCTGATGATGGTACAAATAAGATGATTGTGAGTTTTATGTATTTTTTTTGAATCAATAACAGTTTCCGATTTATCAAAATGATTATTTCTGGTAAACTAATTCAAGAATGTATCACACTTCCAGTACTGTTCAATATAAAACTCCGAAAATTAATCAAGTTGATTATTGCTGGTTGGTTATCATGTTCATGCATATTGTGTTTCATTATTTGATACAGGTTAGCTTTCCAGGAAAGATTCATCGAACTCACAAGTGTCTTTATATTCCATACAATGACAAGGAATACTTATTCAGAGAATATGATGTGTTGACATTAACGACAACTCCAGCATCTTTAGGTGTCATGTGCAAATGTACTATACGAGATCACCTTCTGATGACTATGTTGGAGCCAAATACCCCGAAAATGGGAACAAGGCGAAGCAGCTCGATGCTCATGGCTGATACTGAAGACTATGTTGGTGTAGAAAAGAAACTGGCTCAAAAAATAGACCTTCTACCCCTGCCAGTTAAACTTAAAAAATTTTGCAAGCAAGGAATAGATTAGCAATAAAGTAGTAATTTAGCATCCGGCATCCGACCTATCGTAAGTGCATGGATTGATGGCACAATTTTTTTTTTAAATATGGTTATTGCGATTCAAATTATTGTGATGTAATGATAAAGAAATATAAGTTTATAATCTTAACAAAAGGTCTTTTTATGTAAGGTTGCTCGAAGTGAATTTATGAATTAAACAATAACCTGGATTAAGAAGGTCAAAATAACGAAAAATGTTATTGATGACGAGTGAAGTTTTTTGTTTGTTTGTGTATGCTATTCAACTCTGTATATAATGTATATATACTAATTAAAGTGTACATCTGCTCTTAGTGGATCAAAATCCGTTTCAATTTAAAGTTTCATGACACTGTATAACCATAGATCTGCTGTTCATGTTTCAAGTAATGTACATATGTTGTCATTTTTTTTTATATATAAGTGTGAAATATATTTATGCTGCATCTTGCCTCGTTTTCAGCAATGGAGAATCATAAAAATATTTGCATAAGAATTAAATCAATAACTGCACTTTCTGCTTGGCTATATATATATATATATCATCCGGGTGTCTCTGGTAATATGTACATGCTGACAGTGCTAACTTTATAGTCAATGTCCATTTCGTTATATCAGAGCATGTAGCTAACCATTAACCATCATAGCTATGTAATTAATGAAAGGTCGGCGAGCAGTTAAGCTTCTTTAAATGTAACAGCTGGCACGGCCGACTGTGCGAATTGGAGACGTTCTTTCATGGGGCGTAATGAACATCTGTTGTCGAACCTTTCAGAATTTTATATTAACCGAGGGAAGGGGAATATTTTCAGTATTAATCATTGCTATATTTTTACAATGAAATAGTGTCTTTAAAATTATTCCACATGTCTTATGTTTTAATATTTGCAACTGAACATTTGTGCTACATACGTTATTAAATAGTAAAACTGAATATGCGGCACAAAGTTTGTTACCTTAATTACGTAACTGGAAATGAATAAAAAAATTTGATAATCGCCATAATTTTGCAAATTGTGACTTTTCTGTCTAAAAATATGGGAACAAATCGAAACAATGATGTATATCCGATTAATTAACTAAATATTGAAAATATTACTGAAGGGAAAATTTCGAAAGTTAATGTATAATTTTCTTTCTTGTGTTTGCTTTTTCCAAATAGTCCACCGATGGGTTTCTCACTCATTTACCTTTGCAGCAAAATACGTAATGGAACATCATAATGATTTTTGTTGCTTTTCATTTTAATATTTCCAGTCGGTTAAGTTTCTTTTTCTAAGCACAGGCGTTGCCTTTCCTCAGCGACTATCAGGCCCATAAATATGTGATCGAAGTAAGAAGGCTCCATCGTTGTTGGTCATGTTCAATGTAGCACGTGGTCACCTCGAATTCGTTAAAATAAAAGCGAACTATTCAATATCACGGCGATAAGCGAACATAAAAATACATGGTAAACTGCCTTTTTATACCCTGTTTTGATCACAATCTAGTTTATAGTTATCAGCGCGGAGTGCTGCGAAAAAAGCGTAAAGTTTTTAATTCAAGTAGGCATCGGTCTACTACTGATGGACGTATAGATCCTCGATCGGTACTCCCGTAGTGTGTGTATCAGGTTAGGGTTAGTTGGACCATAATTTTATTCCGATTTTAGTTCTATTACGAATTCGGAGACTGTCTGTGTTAGCCAAGTAATATATACCCTGTCCATAGTCTTCCGTCCCTTTACAAAACTTGATGTAAAGTAGGCAAACAAAGTTAGTTACCTCCATATTGATACACACACTTCTGGAGCGCCCCTTAGGCCTACTCTGCGTGCTCTTTCCGTGTTTGCTCCCATAGTGTGTGTATCAGGTTAGGGTTAGTTGGGTCATAATTTTATTCCGATTTTTCCTATTTTTAGTTCTATTACGAGTTCGGAGACTGTCTGTGTTAGCCAAGTAAATATATACCCAGCCCATAGGCTTCCGTCCCTTTACAAAACTTGATGTAAAGTAGCCAAACAAAACCAGTTACCTCCATATTGATACACACACTTCTGGGGCGCCCCTTAGGCCTACTCTGCTCTTTTAGTGTTCGCTTTTTTTACCAGTCCGCGAGAAATCTTTTTATTTTCTGTCAGCGTCACCGAAATGGCGTTGCTTCATCAGGCCATTTGATCCAAATCCGTGGATCGAGCGTTTGACGGTTTGACAAGTAGGGTATGGATTGGCCGACGAATAATGATCCCACTTTACCAATCCATCGTGAAAGCATTTTATTAAATCTTCTAAGGGTCCTAAATATAATATTTACACGTTGGCGTTTTAGTCCACATCGGCTTCCCAACACACCAAAGGTAAACAGTGTTACATGAATATCGTGGTATTTTGGAACAAAATTGACAAAAGACTACCGTTCGTACCAAGATTTATACTGCGTGTAAGTTGCATTTGAATCGGAATTTTCAATACAATGGTAATGTCAAAGTTCATTTTCGTTGAATTTAATTCAAGCCGTATAACATGTTAGTCCTTCTCCTACCAAAAATTACGTGGAAAATGCTACATAAGAATCTTACCAGGGGTTCGACGGATGCCCTGCGAACTTTTTGTGTATTATGGATAGGATAGGATTTACATATTTGTCCCAGGGGAGAGAAAAGCCGATAAGACGGCTTATCCATATGGCGAACCACGGCCTCTCGTCCTGATACCATTCCAAGTCGGGTATGGAATTAGTTATATTGTTTTTTTTCGGAAGCATGGACTTGGTGGTAGAGGAAGCCGTAACCGACCAGCGGTTACGTGAACCACCCAACGACGGCGAGGAGTCCAGCAATCCTCTCGCACATAACCATCCCTGCATGGGATTCGAACCTGCGAACCCACACAGAGTAATTAGAGGTGCGGTGGCGAGCGTAATCCTAACGCTTAGCCCGTTGAGCCACACCGCCGCGCCAATTATGAAGAATTTCTATTTCCGAGTATATTAAATATGTAAAAATAACTATAATTTAAAACATATATCCCATTTTCAACATCCGGAAAATTCATAGAATAGCTTCTTTATATATGTGTAGTATTGCGCAGATAAATGCTTTAAGACTTGTCAATAAGAGACGCCATGCGCTTGGATATACCTCCGTTGACCTCTTTTTTAAAAGCTTTTTGACTTCCAAATATCTAAGGTTGTTATTACAAATCTCGGGGTTTTGAAGTCGAATACTTGCGTAAACGGCATGTTTTTTATAACTTATCCTACTAATAAAACTTGGTTCAATTGTACGAACAAGTTTAATATAATAACTGCACATAAATGAATGAGAAATCTGGGCACGTTTGAATTTCATTTAACGATTTGAATTGAATTTCCAAAATAGAATATTTCATGACGGAGCCTCCTTAAAAATATCATCCCCTGTCGACGACCCTAATATAGCGCTTAATTAAAATCATATACATATCCTAATATGCTTTATACTCATCTGAGAGCAGGTTTAAATCTGCAGTGTGTATGACTTGATCCACCAATGTCTACAGCAGTGGTCGGCAACCACCGGGCCGCGGCCCATCGCCGGTCCGCGGAAAGGTTACTGCCGGTCCGCAGAGAGGTGACACAAAAACGGACAATGCCGTAATAAAACCTCTACAATCTAACCACAAACCCTACAACTAAAAAACAGCACCCAACAATACACCAGACAAACACATTACCAGGGGTCGGAAAAAATGCGGCCCGCGAACTAATTTGTTGCGGCCCTTGAACGATCCGACATTTAATAAATAAAACGAAAATTAATCCCAAATTTATTATTGTCTCTACACGGATTTATGTGGTGACAAGTGCGGAGCTTCTTATGTAACAAGTAGCGTCAGTTATATGTCGTTCGAATTTTGATTTTTAAAATTTGAAAATGTCTGGAAAACGGAGCGACGCGGGTAGAGCATTTCATAGTGCTTGAACGGAAAAATATTTTTCTTTTTTGCGCATTCCATAACAGGTTTGCTCGATATGCCTAGTCAGCATCGCAGTTTGTTAAGGGTTTCAATGTTAAACTCGTTACGAAACGAGTCGTTGAAAATTCGAACACGAGACCCGGTACAGGCATTGTTAACTTACCCGAAATCTTAATGTGAGGCATGACATTGTGGTTTTCAATATTGAAAACTACAAAAACGAGGTTGGAAATAAGAAACCCGTTACGTGTGTCAATGTCGACCATATCTCAAATATGGGAACAGTTAATGGCCATCAAACAAATACAGACATCACATTAAACAGCATCACCGTCGTTTTTAGTATATTGTCAACATAAATTTCTTAATGCGTATAATTTATTGCATAGGCTTAGTTCGTTTGTATAAAGGTGGTCCGCCAAAAGTTTGATCAAGCTTTACCGGTCCGTCACTTGGAAAAGGTTGCCGACCACTGGTCTACAGTATCTCCGCTTCTGGATCACCAATGTTGCCATTTTTCTTTTGTAGTTTGCCCCTCTCCATCGACACAACTTTTATAACATAAAAACATCATTTAGCTAACGAGGTCTGGGCCGGCGACGCCATTGTGACATGACACTGGTCAATTTGCCACAGCGTATTGGTATCTAAGATTACACTACAATTTTCAGAGTGGTTCAACGTTTTTTTTTTCCAAAATCTTTGCAATTCAGAGGAGTCTTTTTGTGGAATATGTCATTCAAAAAAGAAACATGGTCTGATGACTATGTGCAGTATGACCCTACCTGCTCAAATGAACTTGACTTCAATGCATAATGACATGAGAATTGCTCTTTTTGAAAACAAAGCCACGTATATTTCAGTTGGTCACCGAAAAACAGCAGCAGAAGTGTCACTAATAAATCTAATGAATGAATAAAGTTTACTGTTTGTTGCAATTTATTCTGCTACAAACAATGGCGCAATCAAGGGTTCTTTGGGTGGTTGATACTCTCTTGAGAAACCATGTTCTTCGAATTTAACAAAAAAAAACTATGCTCAACAGTAAGACAACGAATTCATATTCTATAAACTGAAGACGGTTAAATTTTCTATGAATTTGTACAAAATCGGCGTACCCTTTTTACGTTCAGGTAGCGCTCTTAGTTCAAGAAATTGGGATTTGCGTTCGACGGAAGCTTGCGGAATAGCGTAGGGCAGGGGTGGGCAACCTTTTTCGGCTCGAGAGCCAAAATCGGCTAAATTTAACGATACAATGCTTCCACGTGCCGACCAAAATTAACAACAATGCTTTGCTACGTTCAAAGCAAAAATACACAATAATAAACCTTTTAAACATGTCTAGACAGATTCACTATTCGGGAAAATATCAGTCCGACAAAGGTTACTTTTCTTTTTCTGTATCAGTGAGACTTCTGCTGCTGCATTACCGCTGATAGAGTTTTTACATTGGATTTATATTTTGTAACTTTTAACGAAATACACGAACTACTGGTTTCATCGTTCATGCTCCTCCTGTTAAGAGACTTAATAAAGTTCATACCTGAGAACAGAGATCCACAAGCATATGTAAATAAAAACAGGGAGAGTTTTTGCGCCTCGAAAAATTTAGGGGAAGGCATACTGCACTCCTCTCTTGTGTTCCCTCTCCTAATCGCTTATATTTCTTTTGAAATCAACTTATAACAGTGAGTTAGCAAGTAACTATAGCCAACATGAGCTGTACAACTTCATAAATCAAGCAGAAATGACGAAAAAGGGTGGCACAGACGAACTATATTACGTAAGAATGTAGCCAAAATTTAGGGTTGGGATTTCGGGACCAGTTTTTGAAATCCCGGTATCGGGATATCCCGGGATTGAACCTTATAATCCCGGGATTTTTCGGGATTAAGTAGAAGATTGAAACAACTTGCTTGCATGGCAATAAAATCACGTATTTATTTCATGTAATATCAAGGCAGAAATATTAGAGCAACGGGGCAGTGGTTCTCAACCTTTTTATATTGCGGCACTCTAGTTAGCTCGTCAAATATTCGCGGCACACCTATCACAAAAGAAGAACATTTTCTACCCGTAAAGAGTGCGGTAGCTGAAAGCGAACAAATGGGTATTTGCCACCGACGTTACAACTGTTTTCTTACATTAATCAATGAGCATATGCATTAATGTATGCGAGAGTGTCTTCGGAGCACCTCACATTATTGTAAAAGTTGCGCGGTCGCACGGATAATGCGCGGTCTTCAACCGCACCGCCGATCACGCGCTTTGGTTTTGCTCGCCCATCCTCG